CATCTGAAAGTGTTCAACAACAACAGCAGCAGAAGACTTTCGAAGTATCAAGTCGAGGCTTTGGTCAATCAAGTGGGCTTTTGTTGTCAGTGAGGAGTAGTCTTAGGAAAAGTTGTATTGCAAGACCAGCATCAAGGGTGGAGATTAATGCTGATAGGAGGGAATCAAGAGACCGTAAATCTTCCTCCAGCAAGTCTAGTGTGGGATCATCTTCATTTTCTGGTCGTGACGTTAAGAGGTCAAGTGTTGCATTAATAAAGAGGAAAGAACATACCCCAGATAGCAGAAATGTAGCATGGATGACTGAAGCTGCAAAGAATAAAGTGAAACCTTCTAATATGTGCAATACATCAAATGTTAGAGGTAAGGAAGGGAATCGTAATTCTAGGACAGGAGGTCTACCAACTGTTGCAAAGCCAACTTGCCAGGAAGCCTCAAAATCAAAGGTGAGAAGCACTTGTACCTTGAGAAACTTGTGTGTTTGTGCATGTACAAATTTTCAATCTCTATCTGTGCTTCCAGTGTGCAGTACACATTTGGAGTTCTTAACTTATACTCAGTGCAGAGGACAATTTTCAAGTTAATTGAGGAAATAATAATTCATTTTGACTGCATAAGCTTAGCATTCTTCCCCATCCATTTTGGCAAAAGGGGGAAAAACATAGAATTTGCATATTTTAAGCTTTATTTGGATTCATTTTCTTGTAGCTGATATATGATCATTCTCAACTGGTTTAATAAATGCCAAGAAGATGACAAATAAACCATATTGCAAACATCATATCTTTGTTGAAGAACCCAAAATTTTTGTAATTTTTTGCAGGCTAATTCTCAGACTCTTCTTTCCAAACTTTCACAGCCACTTAATGAAAAGAAGTCACTTGCTGCTGCTTCAAAAGCTAGAGAGAAGGCGGGAGTTAGGAGAATCAAGAAAGTGACAGGTGCTGGGAAAGAAAATAACACGGGGGAAATTTCTCTGAGCCAGAAATGCAGTGGAAAAGGCAATGCTGCTGGAGGCATGGCTGTAGGTAGAAAAGGGACAAGTCAGAGTACATCCCAGAACGGTGGCAGAACAGGATTGTTTGTTCCCAAGGTACTTATCTTGGTTGTCATGATACTGTTATACTAATCTATAGTCTCACTTTGTTCTAGCCTTTGTTGCCAATTTAAAATGCCTGCATGAATTTCAATTGTTCAGACCTGATGACAGCCTCCTGCACTCATATGGCTTCTCAGATTCTCTTTTTCATATTATTCCTTGGGAAACTGCATATCTCTTATGATTTTATGTAATAATCACAAACCCGTAAATACCAATAGAATCTATGGGAAATTGTTGTGTGCAGAAATAACCTTATTCTTTAGATTTGATAAGCAAATTCATCTTTTGATTGTCCTTCCTTTTTACACTTCCATACACAAATCTTGCAACATCCTGTATCTGATGCATGTATATGAACTTTTCCAACAGGGAAGAGTTGGTAATCAAAGGGAAGGGAAGAATTCCACCAATTCTACTCAAAGGGTCCATTTTCGATGAGGGGGCAGAGCAGATAAAGGTCTGTATATAATGTAATTCTTACTTCTTGTAACCATGGGAGGAGTGTGAAAGCAAAGAAAACTTTTTCGTGCCACATTTTGGTGGTAAATTTTGGTTCTAGTGAATGTACACCTTCACTGGCCATAGTCTTATACAAGCATTTAAGATTCTCATTTCGTTTTCAAGCCTTGTTTGAAATCTCCTCCTCTTTCACTCTCTGGCTTTTTACTTTACAAGAACATTAACATCTGAACTAAATCTCACTCACATCAAAAAGTTGATACCGAAACAGGCAATAAGATTAACAGAAGAGGAAGATGAACATTCGAACAGCTCGATTATGTAGGAAAATGCTACAGATCTCTTAGCCAACTTGGCATTCAATTCTTGCGTTGGGTACTATACATATCCAACCTGTACATTCTTTTAATCTCACAGACAAAAACTTGGCATAATGTAAGGCAATATGGATTGCTGCTAGATAGTGTTGATCTTCAATTTATCCTCGTAATCTGTGCTATGCTAGATGCTATTGATTTCAGCATTGGAATAGACGAGCAGATTGCCCTTCATCAGTTGCAATCATACATGCTGCTGCTACAATGCTGAAAGGGACAGCAACATGTGATGACGCTTATCTTCTCAAAGCACCATAACTTTTTGTTACCTGAGATACATGAAGAGACAGGCCGAGTCAGGGAATCCCAATGAGTAGTGCGAGGGTTCTCTAGCAAGAGGGGAAAAACAAGTCTGACATCGCCAGAGGTATTAAGTACTGAATAAAAAGTATGAGCATAATTGTTTTAATTAAATCTTCAGTAATTAGAAGCAGAGACTACAGCAAAACATGTGCGAAACCTGAGTAAAAAGGAGATGAAATTGAGGGGCAACAACTCTTCCAAATAAGGAGGGGAGCATGTCAGTGGGGCAAAGCAAAAGATACATACTAGGTTAACTGCAGAAAATGGCACAGCTAAAATAAGGAAAGGAAGAACAATCGCTAACCCGAGGTTGAGACTTATTAAATCTCCTTGCAATCTCTTCAGCATCATCGTCATCATCATCAGGCTTGTTCATGAACACTTTACGAACTGAAGAGTTATCAGATTTCCTTCCCCGCTTAGATGTAGATCCTCTGCCTCTTCCCCTAGGAGCTGCTCTTTTACGCCCTTTACCTTGACCAATTTCATCATTTTCCTTCAAAAGATAAAGAGTACTTATTCAGTTTGTGTTTTCATTATTTTTATATGGTATTATGTCAACACTGACAACACAAAGCAAAGATAGCAACATCGGTGATTTTATTTTCCAAGGATAATGTACGTTTGAACAGACAATCATTTAAATAGTTTGCGACCACCATGTACCATCATATAAAGACAACCAATAGAAAAGGCAGCACGGAATATGTGCATGAAATTAACTGATTGAGAAGGTAGTCCATACCGAACTGTTGTCAACCTCATTAATTTCATATTCTTCACTTGAAGCAGAGTCAACGTTCTCCTCATCATCAGCAGTACTTTGAACTGCTGCAGATGCAGCAACTGATGCAGATCTGCATCAGGCAAATTACCAATGAAACTTAGCTAGTGATGTAGAAGTCCAAACTTTTTCAAGGAAATTATTAATTAAATTTCAAGGGCAAAAGAGATTAGGAGATACAGCATACTCCTAACAACAATTAATATTTCTTACGGTAAGCTCAGTGCTTTCATTTCAAAAAGCAGCATCCATGGAAGCCCCAAAGAGAAAAAGATTTAAGCAATAAAATAAAGGGAGAGTTGTCTTTCCACTTTAGTGATTGATATTATATCCTATACTTATTTCTCTGGCCATAAGTCAAATTACTTGTCAACAGGTTAGATCAAAGTGTCACCTTTGAGATTGGCGAAAACCCAATGAAGCATCGAGAGTGTCTGCTTTAAGCCAGTAGAGCCTCTGCCTCTGCCTCTGCCCCTACCTCTACCCCTTCCTCTGGTAGAAATTTTACTTTGACCAACTTCTGGAGCATCACGAGATGATTGAGAAGCTGTCAATGGCCCTTTCCGGCCTCTATTGGCGGAGCTCAATATCTGTGCTGTGTCTTCATCGTCACTAAAGGAGGCTGCACTTCCTATTCCTGTATTATTTTTACTCCTGACATTCTGTAACATTGAAGAAACAGAAGTTTAGATGCGGAGAATGTTATATAAGCAACCTGAAGCAACATTTTAAACAAACAGAAAGTGGAACACATGGAATGGTTAGTGAACACAGAGCAAATGTAAATTAAGATCACCTCAACGGACTGCACACTGGATGTGAACTGCAGGGTATCCTTAGGGTGTGAAGATCTTTCCTTGACACGTTCCTGCAAAATTAACAGATGAATTAAAATATTGTCTACTATATCCATCTATCAAAAGTACTAATACCCCCAGCAATGAGTTGGGATATTGCTATTAACATTAAAAGTGTAATATATATATATATATATATATATATATCAAATATAATCAACTTGAAAATTCTTGCCTCCAAGCACTCTCCAACTTTAAGAATTAAGTCTTCCTCTTCAAACTTTAAGGCATCTGAATCCTTTGCAATTTTGTTCTGTGGAATCAATAGAGTGAAGGACTCACTAACTTTAAACCAGAATATGGAGAATAAAAGAAGTAATCAGCGTCAAACCAATTAACATTCACACAATTATGTAGCCTTTTCCCACAATGCAAGGTCAGCTAAATAAATCAGATAAAGCCATTGAGCTCTATTTAGGAAAATATCTTGAGTTAAAACCAGTAAAAGCAAGGTCCCCTTTAGTACTTTCTGCACATTTCTTCTTTGGTCTTCCCTCTCCCTTTAGACATTATGATACATTATTTTAACTGCACAGCGGGTAGACTATAAGAATACTTACACGAGTTTCTTCAAGATTGTATCGCACACAGTTATAGAAAGCTAATTTGTCATCCTTGTTAACAAAATTGTGCAGTGCAACATCCAAGTCATTGACCGGAAGGATCTCCATTTTCTGCAAGATAGACATGATAAGGACCAGACTAAAGACAAAAAGGGTTCATGATAAATATATGGTTGCTGTCATGCGAGTTCTATTTAGTCCAGTAACTGAAAGAAAATTCGGTATCCGATACAACTTTCCATATGCAGAAGCACTGAATCCATGCTCAGTAATCACATGCAATTGTGTGTTGCATGCAAAATACATAATTTGTCTTCAATAGGAACAATTATTTTAAATATATTATGCATAGTAGTGCCCTCCAGGACTGCACTAAATAAGTATTGAGTGATACATGCCATAAATAATCAAGCCAGAAGGAAACAGGGAATGCAATGTTTGATTACCAGATTGTTTTCGGCAACTAATGCTTCTATATTCTGTTGATTTAGTTCTTCAGGGCGAAGCCTTTCTGAATCATCAATTTTGGCTAAAATGCACAAAGAAACTTAAGTTAAACTCAAGTTATTTCACTGCATCTATAAGCTAATATCAAGCAGATCAAATTAAGAAAAAGGAAGAGCTTTGAAAATCTAAATGCTGTTCTGAGAACATGCTTATAACAAAAAATTACTCATAATAATACCTGATAGTGTTTAAAAGTGAAAATATATTTTCAATACTATGTTCGCAACTCTTGCCACATGAGCATTGTAATAAAACTTTTTAAAGGCCAACTATTCATCTTTTTTTTTTTTTCCAATTGAGTCAAGGGTTTATGTGATTAATTTCAGCAGGCAACTGGTTTATCTTTGGAAGAAAGGCAACCTATGTTCCATGCTGTACAAAACTTACTTGTTTCTAAGTAAAATAGTCACAGTTGAGTAGATTACTAAGTCTGGATGATTAAATTACCTTCTTTCTGACTCCGTTTAGAAGCCTTGGAGAATATAAGAATATCTTGTGGATTTGCAACCTGCAAACATTGAGGACTAATCATTTAGTGCCTGAATGAAGGACAAAAAAGTTAGAACTTATTCCTCATTCAGAATGTGCCATAGCCCCAAGATACCTTCCCAACATACTTCTGCCCAAATCTTTGAGGATTTATTGTCATAAATCCAGAGTAATCAACCTATAATATCACGCAGAAAATTGAAAAAGTTATATTTGGATGCTAGAGATACATTCTCTGCAAAATCAATAATAACTTATATGGTCAAGACAAGCATAGAGTAAAATAAAGTGAAAAATTGCTCACCAAATCGGTACAAAAATTATAAAACGAAATAACATTACTTGGTAAGGAAAGGTCAAATTCATGAAAAGTTTCATTAAATGAATGCAAATATAGTTTATAACCCAACATTCTAAGTTATGGGTGGGCAATACTGAGAAAAAAAGGGTTTCAAACGATGTGCAAGCATTTTCCAGGATGAAGTGCTAGCAACAAAGTAACAATGATGAAAAATTTCCCAATATAGTAATAGGTTTTAAAAATGCTAATCATTAGACAACATGGAAATTTTCAAGTGAGATCCTTGATATCAGTCACCACCACACCTCTGTCAATAATTCAAAAAGAAAAGGAAAAAAAAGCAATTTGATTTGGATTCGAAAGACATAGGGAAAAGGCAGGGAAAGAAAAAGAGGATATAGGTGGTTAGAAAAGACAAATATTCAATAGAAACGGCAGCTGAAGATAAAACAAAATAAGAAAAGGATTTATTGGGTCTAGTTGAATTAGAGATCTTTAGCAGTCTTTCTTCAATTTCCTTTGAGAATGTGATAGTGACATGTGAATGCACTGCCAAGGGCCAGGTTAACCTACCTCTCAAAGGTGGAACATGTTAAGGGAAAAAAAGACTAGGGGTAAAAATCAGCTTTCATAGTAGTATCGGTCACAAAACAGAGGCTGAAATTACCTTAACTCGGACTAATGGAAGCTTGAGCTCTGATCCATTAACAGCCTTCCTATTAGACTTCTCTATTAGATTGCTGACCTAAAATAAAATTGAAGTTATTACGTTAAATTCAGTAAAAGGACCTTTTTTCAACCATAGATAATTAAAGAACTTATTTTGTCAGACTTCTGTATTAGATGATGTCACAAACTCAGAAAGCCCAAAATTCTTATCTCATGCAAGAAAAGACACTTGCCACTTTGTCCAAATGTTCAAGAATAGAGTTCTGATCATTGGCATCAATGTCAGGTTCATCCTTCAGCACAACCTACATCATGAACATTGAGTAAGACAAAACAATTCTAATCTATTTCTTGCCTTTTCTCTAAATGATATTGCTTTACCTCTGTATATTCAAAAGGCCTCACTGATGTCAAAGGTATTTTGGTTGGACGATATTGGTTTCCCTATAAAATAAGTCATCACAGTGTGAGAATCAAATGAAGAAACAGATATTGCTTGATTAAATGATAAATCCAATCTTTCACCCATATACAACCTTAATTTCTAAAAGGAGCACATGCTTTGGCTTTGATTCTCCATTAATCAGTGATGTTGCAACTGAGGAACCAGGTTGTGTAATGTGAAATCCCATCCCCGGTACTTCCTATGAAATTAAAACCAACCTTCAAATTTTTGATATCCTACAAGAGATAAACAATAAGATATGGGAAAGATTTTTTAATTCCACCACCTGAGGGTCAATAAGACATTCATGTTCATGTCCCCACACTATGAAGTCAAGGAAGCGTGGTAAGAAGTGCTCATTTATTGCATTTTTAGGGTTCATCTTCACTCTGCAAGCCACATTAGTTAAAAGTTTTAATATGTACACAAGTGAATTTACACAATAATGTCTTTTTCTTCCACTTTTACGTTTGCTTGTGCATGAAATAACTCAACCACAAAGTGGAACACATGTGAACATGAGACACACACAGAGGGACATGTCCATACAAACACAGACACACATACACAACCTGTTCTGATGAAGTACCAGAATGTTGAACCAATCAGACACTTCACACCCTTCTTGGGATTCAGGTCGCATCCATTGCACAGCATGGGGTGTCTGAGAAACCAAACATAAACCACAAACAGGTCAATAACTGAATATCCTGGAAGTCAGGCACTAGTGGGCTGTTAAAAATGTTCAATGTAAATACGTAGAGTACCTGAAACATTCTATTGAGCCGTTCATCTCTAATATTCCCAAGACCATAAAGAGCTACAGCAGTTGATCCCTGCAATGCAAAAAGAGACATAAGGTTTTCCATGAATATACAATTACCCTTGAAACTCATGTTAATGAAATTACTAGCAGACCTTCCTGATAAGAATAGGGTAGAGAGTAATCTGTCCAACACCCGAACCCCCAAGAACCATTTTCCCAAAATAGTTCACCATGTTACATGCTGAAAGGATATCAACTGCAGAAAGGTTGTCCTGTCACCAATAAAAAGTTAGGAACAGACTGTTAGTAGTAATTTTAAGAACAGCAGACTAATTATGCACTCTATAAAAACATGATTATCTAACAAATCAAGAAAGGTAGAAAAACAATCCATATAGACAGAGAGGCATGGCATTGGGGAGGTATCAATTTATGACACAAAGATAGGAAGGGACACTGAAATTCTATGGAAAATGAAAAAGAACGAGCAAGCAAGATATCTCTAAAGCAAGAACAAAACACAAGAGGGGAAAAAAGTAGAATAAGCATGTTTCCATAAATTTCTTACTACTCCAGCAGGATCATCATGGTTTCCATGAATACTAAACACTGGCAAGCCAACATTGAAGTGAGGATCTTCATAATTCACATGGCCAAATCTGTTGAAAAAGAAATGCTTGTTACAAACTAAATGAGTTAATCTTCCAAACATCGGTCAACAACCAGTGAAAAGAGCATATTGACTAAGATATGTAAACACATACATCTAGGAAACAAGTAAATAAACTTACTTTAATAACGTTCACATCAAAACCAATATCTATTAAAAAAAATACGGCACAAAATCATGCTTCGGCTGTTGTCACAAGAATAATCACTGTGCAAATTTACTAGCCAGATAAAAATTCGAGCCTTAGGACTTATGGCAATGAACAAGAAAGAAGTAACATACAACTTAGACATCCCATCGGCAACTCATGACACCGAGAAAGAGAGAGAATAGTTACGTATTCTGAAAATTAACAGTCTGGTCGCTAACAACTTGGAACTGCACCGGTTGATCATTAAGGCAGTGACGACGAAGAATCTCAATAGCCTTAACTAAAGTTGACCTCGAAGGCTTATTTTCATGGAAAAGATCTCCACCAAGAAGTAAAAAGTCCACCTAATACCATATAGAAATCAGTGCCTACGTACACTAAAAACAAACTTGAAAATTTCCTAGAAATTATCAGAAATTCCCTGTTTTTACTGGAAAAACCGTAGCGAATATAAAAAATTCAAAGGAATATAGCAAATGAGGAAATAAATTAAAAAAAAAAAAGGAAAAAATCACCTGTTTGTCTTCTGCTATTGAGCATATCTCATCAAATGCTTGAAATGAATCATGTCGTCGTATTTCATCCTTCTCCATATAGCCTAAATGGCAATCCGTCGCTACAAGTATTCGAAGTGTGTTGCTAACATCCTCCCTGCAAATTTCTCCATTCATACATCATATTCAAGCAATTTTTTTTAAAAAAAAAACAAACAAAGGAGAAGTTTTACCTCCTTGAGTCGGTCATAGTGATAGATTAGCTGCGAAATTCATGAACTGTAAAAGATTTTCCAGTACTTTGCGAAGTTACGACAATGGAAAAACGGCGCGGAAATTCAAACAGCAAAATGGGAGGAAAAATGAGAAAAAAAGGGGACCAGATTTTGGGGGAGGCAATGACCCGATCCGAGAAATCGAACTGGTCTGATCGGGTCGGGGATGTTAATTCGGGTTCAGTCCAGCCCATATTGATTATTGTGGGCCTAAATTTCATTAAGTCCCACTTATTGGTCTTAAACTGCCCATGTTATGACCTTAAATAAAAGCTTCCTTTGGGAATATGAAACCCAAATAGAATATTGACAATTTTTTTTTTCAAAAAATTATAAATAATTGAAGGAAAAATGATAAATAATCTGAAAATAAAATCGACCTAATCATCTGAATAAGACACAAATTCTTTACCCAAGTACATGTACATTATTAATCACATAATGGTGTTATTATTTTCAATTTTTTCGAATATCGGATCATGCAACATAATTCATAACCAATTGTAGTTTTAACTTGTCAGTTGAAACATCAATTTCGAAGATAAGATAATTATGGGTGACTTCATAATAAAGGCAAAGGATTCTTTGTAATTTTGGCAGTGATTTGCTTCTTTGTAATTTTGTACAAAAAAGAAGACAAGAAATCAGGCTTTGATACATCATCAAATTAATTAAGAGTCAAAAAGATACCAAATTTCTCATGTTAATCACCATGAGTGGTGTTGATTTCTTCATCAGAATTTCTCTTCAACTTTAAGTCTAATTTTTAATCATCTGCAGTTACAAGTCTAAGTCACACACTTCATTTTTCTTTACCTTTTTTGTTATAGGTTTTGACTGTATTATTGTGTAGCCTCTTGTGTGTAAGTCATTTTCAAGCACCTTGAATTCCTTTTCAATGTGTGGGCTAAAAATGAAATTTAGGAAGCAAAAAGGAGAATCATCTTGAAATCTTTTAAGACATTGCCACCCTTATTCCCTGTCATTCACCTTCTTTTCTTTTCTTTTTTTAATATAAGATATTAGATTTTAAACTATATAGAATAAGAGATATATATATTTCAATTCAAAGTAGAAAATGTTTAAACAGTTTTATCAATTTGATTCCTTTATAAAAAAAATCGGTACCTTATGTTATCTGACCTAATTAAGTAAGATTAGGATATTTCATAATCAAGTTTTGGGATAAAACTACTATCCATCACAGTTTATGTAGGGTCCGGGTATTGGTTTAATGAGTTTAAACGTTTAATTTATTCTTCATGAATTAAATTAAATTTATTAATTTAATTTTCATTAATAATAAATATGAAAAATTAATTTAAATTTATTTTTAATCGAGTATTTATAAGATTTAAGTACCTTCTAAAATAATAGAGTTCAAGTTAAAGTAACTAAAAAATAATCGGTACGCTATCCGTTGATATTCTTAAATTCAACAATAACTATAATTATTAAATAATTATCCAATCCGGCATGACAAAATTTAACATAAAATAGGAACAAGATACCTAAATTATTGGTTCTAGAGCTTCTACCTTATCATCAATATTGAAATAAGATTCCATTGGCTAGGAATTTTATTAGATTGGGAATCCTATATTATAAAGTTTCTAAGACAATTATTGGTGAAAAACCTGTTCATTATAGGTATAAGACAATTACGTAATATGTCCTCAATTCATAGTTTCAACTTCAACATGCACGATTACCTAAAAATAGTTTGTGGTAAGTTATATATAGAGTGATTAATAATATCTTATCATGGATTGCATGTCGAGGAGATTATAACTCAGATTTTATATATATTTGATCACTTTTTTTGATATGCAGCATTTCCTTGTTGATGTATCCACGTAATATTGTTTGAAAACTTCATCAAAACTTTATTTTATATAAAGTTATGCATATTATACATGTCATATATATATATATATACAAATTCTTTCGATAATGTCAAAATTATAACACAGAATATTTCATTAACTTCCTTAATGAACATGTTACAATCATTTACTTTATAGAAACCTAAGCCTAACGGACAAACGATTACTGCTACAAAATTGACTCTAAAACCACCAACAATCACAAAGGAAAAACCACTAATTTTCCGTCTACAAAACTACATGTAAAGGAGCCCGTAAGAGGAACAAAACAATATCATAAAGGAGACAAAGGAAGGAAACTATACATACAATGGTGTGATGGTACGTAGCTTGACAACTTTTAACTTACTCCAGCATTGGATGCTTTAGAAGAAATTAATTGCCGAAAATGGGTTTCTTAGAATTTAGAAATTTCGAAAAGGTTTTTTTTCCCACTTTAATGGTGATAGTGAAAGACCTTAATTGAAGATGCCTTGTGGGATTTGTTTTCTTCGCATGGCTTGTAACTTGTACGGAGCATATCGACAAGCCTTACTTTGAGGATTCTGTGGGAACTGAGTATACCACCAAAGTCTTCTCTGAAAGAGATTTTTCCCGAATGCATTTCCAGGAAAATTCTAAGTGAGAAACAGCCAAATGCAAGGATTGGCCATGTGGTGGTTGCCTTGCTGTGAAGGGGAAGTCTAACCCAGGCTTTAATTACGTGGTCCTCAAGATCTTATACTCGTGACCTCATTCCCCCCACAGGTTACTTCATTTCTAGTCTTTTTTCTCTGAAAATGTACTAAGTTTTTGTGTCTATGGTTAGGTTTCATGGCTAACCTAGCAAAATGAAAATTATTTGAGGGGAGTACTGTATATTTGCTTGACTACCAAGGCAAAAACTTCAATTAAAAACATATGGAAAGTGATATATGGTTTTAACACATTTAACTTTTTCTTATCAAGTACTAACCCTTGAGTCAATCATAAAACTTTTAAATTTTACAAGTAAATTTAAATATATGTTATGTGTTCATATGATTCAATATCCAATTTCTTTACTTTACTAAAATTAGGTTAAAACCTTCAGATGTCTTAATGATTTAAGATAGAATCATAGTCCAACAATATTATAATATGATAATATCATTATTTAGTAGAATTATATCGATTGAATTTTCTTTTTTTAATTGAAAGAGACGAAAATCATATATCAATCAATAAATTAAATGTTTGGATGTATTAATTGAATTTATTCTCTATATAATTATTGTAATTATGTAAACATTTTAGACGAAAATTAGTCATGAATTTAGAGTTGAATAGAGAGAGAGAGAGTTGCCCTAGCTAGTTGCAATTGCATGGACGTACATATCAGGTTGGTTGGGAATGAACATAATAATCATAGTTGGAAAGTTGTGGTCCGAATAGATGTGGTTGGTTTTGCTTGAAACATATGTTTCGGTTAAAGCAGCGAAAATAGATAAATAAAAATATAGTCAAATTGTATACTACAATCAGCTGATAAGATGGCACTAAGTAATCATGTTACATCTCCAAGGACTACCATTTGTACGAAGACATAGCTGTCAATAATTACGGGTGTAATTAATTTTCTATCAATTTTACACGATCAAAACCGGTGGAAATCCTTTATGCATAATATTAAATACTATGCCATGCATAAAATTATGCTTATTAAACTTAAATACCAATTATTCTTCACATATTTAATTTCTTTATTTTTATTTTATTTATTAATTTATTTTGCTTTCTGATTTTTCGATTTGAAAGAGATAAAGAAGAAGAATCATTGCCTCTATCATGCAAGATCATTGCTCCTGCAGCACGAAGGCAGTCACATGGGAGGATGAAGGTCTTGTGACAATCGTCAGATATATAGGGCCAAAGTTTTGTACTAATAAAGACTCATCTTTAATTCTTTAAAGACACTTAGCATGCTTTTTCTTGTACATCCTCATTACATGTAAGTTCTGCAAACTTACACGACGAGCAATAATTTTCCTTCGACATAAGAACATGGAGAGTGACACGAGATGATTACTTTATCTCTTAAAGATTAACTTGATAGAATGTACAACATCATCGTTTATAAGCTTTGCAGGTACTTTTCTGCTTGCTCGATATGGGTCTATTCTTTTTCTTTTTGAAATGTTTAGTGTAACAATAAGAACTTTCACGTGAAACTAGTAAAAATTTAATTATAAAATGAGTTAAATTTAATATAAAAGATTTTCTAATACAAAAAAGATATAGAAAGATTTGAGAGTTTAACTTGTGGAGTGAATTGAGGATAAAATCGTACATATAAATATTAATTATAATACAATGATTAAGGGAAAAACAAGTATTCTAAAAATTACTTTGAATTGCGGATTATTTGCACCTTGTTCGTCCCCTTCATATCTTTTAAAAAGATTCTGTACAACAAGGAGTCTTTAGAATCAGACTCTAATGATTGTATTTTAGTTTTTAGTTTTAATGTTTCTTCATTAACAGTAACAATCCTGTGCATATATAATCAAGATTTGGAAGTATTATAAAAAATAATATTGGTATAGAAAAAAAAATCTTTATAAGTGTAGCAAATAGAATTACAAAGAATCCTAACTGTATCGAATATTTGGCTCGTGAGTACAGTTAAATATATGTATCTTTTATTCTAAAAATGGAGAAATTAACATGCATTGTTGGAAAGAACTCTAACTAGTTAGGAGTGAGAGGTTCAATCAAGAACCTTCCTCTCTCATCCATTCTTTTTCTTGCTTTATATAATCAAAGTTTGTTATGATCACAAAAGTCCATACTTCAGTCCAATAATCTCACATGTTGTTTTCGGTACCTAACTATATGAGAGAGAAAACACATAGAAACAAGAGAAAGAACATCAAAACCATATAATTATTATTAATTTATTTTTTTACTAATAATCATAGACAAAAGAGGGACATGTATGAATGGGGTTATTATGTTTATATATATATATATATATATATATATATATATTTTGAAAGATATAATTGATGAGCAAACAAACAAAAAATACGAAGTTGCATGGAACCTGTGTTGCTTAAACTTATCTGTGAATAAGACCATATACCCCTTCCACTCTATCTCCAGGTCTCTTTCTACACCCTCCTCCTTGCCTCTCTTACTTCCATTCTTCCTTTTGTTGCTTTTATCTCCTGTTTTCCCCAAAGTACCCTCCAAA